ATTATTATTATTATTAAATAGCAATTTCAAAAATATGTGTTAAGAAAAATAAAAATAAAGCAAATATATGTAAGCTAAAATAAATAAATAAAAAAGAAACAAATTTTTTTATTGATTTTGACATTTATAAATATTGATGAATTAATATGGATATTTCTTAAAATTTTCATATTTCTAATTTATTCATCAAAAGGCTTATTTTGTATCATCATTATAACATTTTTTTTGTACATCTACATTCAAAATAAACACATATAGGTACATATTCTATTATTTTTTAAAAAATATTTTTGATAAAAAAATTTTACATGAAATAAAATCAAACAATTCATACAAAAATCCTCTTCTTTGCCAAGCTCTTTTAGATCCACTTCCTCATTCACATTTTTTTCCAACAAAAAAAAAGTGCATGAGGTGAAAAAAATTAAACATAATAAAAATAAATAATGAATAAAAATGGTATAATAGTGTTATAAATAAAAATAAATAAAATTATAATCATGTATTTTTATTACCTATAAAAATCAAACAAAGTTCAAAAAAATGTCATATCATCAAAACAAAGACTTTATTAAAGAAGATGAGCATCGATCACGTGTAGAGAAGATTCTAGACCATTTTTTTTCAGCCATGCGTCCAGAAGAGCCAGGACCATCTTTACGCATCTATACCCTGTTTTTCAAACCCGCTCCGTTCCATGGCTCCCACACTTTTTATTTATTTATTTATTTTGAAGATTGGCAATGGGGCTCCCACACTTTAGAAAGCCAGGAATGAAGACAAAGCCCGCGTCGTTTCCTGTTGTGGAAAAAAGAACGACGTTCGGAGAAAAGCAAGGGGTCAATTTTATCAATTCAAATCAATATCTATCATAAAAAATTCAAATAAATTATGAAAGTTACATTTGATCTTCTCAACCTAGTGATTTTGAAAGCCAGGAATGAAGACAAAGCTCTCATCCTTTCCTCTTGTGGAAAAAGAAACAGCAACGGTGGGAGAAAAATCAAGGGATCAATTTTGTCCATTCAAATCAATACCTAATTACCTATTATGAAAAACCCAAATAGGTCATAAGAGTTACACTTGACCTTGTCCGCCTAGTGGCTTTGAAAGCCAGGAATGAAGACAAGGCTAGGAATGAAGACAGACCTCGCGTCCTTTCCTCTCGTGGAAAAAACAGCAACGGTAGGAGAAAAGCAAGAGGTCAATTTTATTAAATCAAATCAATACCTATCATAAAAAATCCAAATTGGTTATGAGAGTTACACTTTAACCTTCCCGACTGACCTAGTGATTTTGTCATTGTTGACAAGTACACTTCAATCCCTTGGGTTAGATTTGATTTCCTTATCTTCTATTTATAATTTGTTTTTTAAAAAAAAAAGTTACGAGAGCCGTGAGGAATCTAATATTAAATTTATTTTTAGCTAAAT